ACCATTTAGTGAAAAGAAACCAGAGGAGATAAAACAGGAAACTCGGGAGCCAGGAAGAGAAGTATCTCGAAGGTAGCTGGTCAAATCACAGAAAGGATAGAGCATGTTAATTTAGATATATTGTAGCTAACTGGATTTTATAGCCTGGTTCGAGTTGTTACCAAGCAGGAACTTGCTGCCCAACATGCAAAGAAGCCAATACTGTGGCTTTTGAGAAAAAAAAAAAGCTTTATTGGGAAGTGGACCAGTAAGGAGACAGGAAACAAACCTCAAATCTGCCTCCCAGATCAGGGTTTGGGGTGGTAAGGGGCTAGGGATGGACAGGCTGGTATGTGGAAGTGCTGGCAGGGCAGGTTTCAGTTGGATGCTTCAGCACAACAGACTCTGATTCTGAAAGGATTCTGATGATCAATTTCCGTTCAAGTCTCAGCTTTTTGGTTCCATGAAGTTTGGTTCCTGGTGTTATTGAAGGTCAGAATTCTCTCCTCTGCCCTGCTCTGGCTGCATGACTTAATGATTTTGTTTTGTTGTCCCTGAAAAACAACTCAGTATCTTGTTAGAAAGAAAGGCCAGTTTGAGCTGTTTCTGCGGCTACAATGTTAATGAACAAATTCAACTCAGTGTGAAGATCATGAGTCAGGCTGCATCCCAGCTGGTAAACAAAAGGGTGCCGAGAGGAGCTGTACAAATGCAAGGCTCCTGTAGGCAGCAAGAGGTGGGACAGCGAAGTGAAAGGAGTATTTCAGGCAAGGCCTCCTTCCCTTAGCGGGAGGCAGAGGTCTTATCAGGAAGATTACCTCCCTGGTGCTGACCAGGAAATTCTAGATGATTGGTTTAAAAATTCCACTCCTGGGAAAGGCTGAAGCTGCAGTATCAAGTCTTGGTGGGACTTACCACAAGTGATTCCGTTTTGGGTCTGTTTTTTGCACTGGAGAGCCAACCACAGTTTAGAACATTGTTGCCTTGGAAAAATGCCTTAAGCTGGAGCCCACTGTCTTAAGGGACTGCCTACAGGAGAGAATGGATAACTCCAGGGTCTTCCTTACATGCTCTTAGTTGGCATAGCTGTTAGGCCTGTGTCTGCTACCTGCCATTATGGGAGTAAGATTGGAGTAAATCACATCCTTCGTCCTAGTCAGTTGTACAAAGGCTTGTTAACAGTATGGCAGGCTCAGGAGGCCTTGGTTCTAACGTCTGATGCCAGGAGAACACTCGTTCTCCTGAGTATCCCTGGGCCCTGGTCTGAACAGGAGATTTTGATGATTAGAGCAGGCAAAAGAGCAGTTTTCATCTGGCTCGAGCTGCTAGGTTGGGAGAAGTCTCACGGGGCTGACTTCATACCTCCAGAGCTCCTCAGCATTCTTAGTTGCCAGCTGTTCTGTGGACCCCCTTCAAGTTCCTCAGGAGAAACAGCATGTGGGCTAGAAAGGGTTCCTGCTCTTTTGAAAAATCTCCTTCCTATGATCCAGGGCGAAAAGCTAATGAGAAGGAGCGGCAGGCGGCGCTCAAAGTGGCTGAGGACTTCATCTCCCGCATGCAGTACGCCCCAAACACTCAGGTAAGGAGACACCCCGTGTCCCTGACCTTCCTCCTGGGGTTCTTCCCAGGGCCTCCTGCCCCTCACAATGGACATGAAGGACAGGAAAGCCTCAGGCACAGTCAGGAATAGTCAGGCCTCCCTACCAGGCCCACCCATTGGGGAAGCCCTTCTAGATCCTTAAAAATTTGTAAGTGTATGTTATTTTCTAAGAGGATGTTGGGTAGCACTCCCCTGGGAGCCTAGGGAGCCTGTGTATCTTTGGACAGCTTGTGCACTTTTGGGCCATTGTCCCAAGCTGGTACCACCCCTTCTCGCCCCAGCACGGGGACTCCACAGGTCATTTTCAGGGGAGCTGATAAGGCTCATCTATAATTGCTGCATCTATCAAACTGTTCACCTATGTCCTGGAAGCAGTCTGTTTCCTCAGCCATGTCCCTGTAATCTTGCTCATCTCTTGTCTTATCTGGAGGAGCATCTTGGCCTGGATGGCATGTGGGCTCAGGCCTGGTACCCAGCACCCTCCCCCATGGCCTTGCCCTTCCCTGGCAGAGGCAAAGGTGGCATCCTTGTGAGCAAGACTTCTCCCCTGCTGCCCCTACAGGTGGAGATTCTGCCCCAGGGCCGTGAGAGTGCCATCTTCAAGCAATTCTTCAAGAACTGGAAATGAGGGGGGCATCTTGCTGTGCCCACCCACCGCCTGCTTGCTCTTCCTCCTGCTGCCTGGTCAGTGCCCAGGTGCCCCTGCAGATGTTCAATAAAGGAGACAAGTGCTTTCCCCACTTTCTGCCTGCCCCGCCTACTCACCTGAGCTGATTCTCATGCTGGGGTGGAGTAGGACCCAGGTGACAATTCCCCCTCTCCAAGGGGCCAGAGCTGGCTTTGCATGATTAAGGCAGAGGGGCCAGGAGTCCCAGTGGGCCTGGCGGGTACTGCTGTGAACCCAATAGGGAGGTGGCACAGCGCCAGGCCTCAGGATCGTTTTCAGACGGGTTCAGATCAGTCTCACGTTCCCAGCTGGGAGAAGGTTGTGGCAACAGGCCTCTCTGTTCGAGCCAGCATTTCCTCAGCTGCCCTAATAAACCATTGCAAGGCACCTTCCAAGTGACGGATGCTTGCCAAGCAGAAGTACCACTTTTCACCCTTGTGCAGGAGCCTGGTTTGTCACTTTGCAGGCACATTGTGTCGTGTGTTACTAGGCTGGTGAGCCCAGGACCACTGTGGGGCTGTAAGAAGAGCACAGGAGTCACGGCTTCTCGTTCTCACTCTGCTTCCATTCCATCCTGGGCAAGTTGCTTTTCCTTGTCTAGGCCTTAGTTCATGCTCTTGGGTAATAGGGTGCTGGCTGGAACATCAGAGGTTAGATAGCTAAATAGGGGGAGAATGGAGTAGCCCCAAAGCAGCCCCATCCTGAGGCCATGACCCAGGGGAACAAGAGCAAGCGGGGGGGAGGGGGGCTGTGTGAGCCTAGACCAGAGTCTGCGAGGCCTGGCAGGGCCACGGCTGTCCTGACCCACCCTCACCCTTGGGCTCTCGGGTGTGTGGATTCTGAGCTCTGACGTGCTTGACCCTTCCATCCCAAACAGAAATTCCGATCAAGTTCATCTTGTTGATTTTTTTTCCAAGGGGCATAAAAATCAGCTCTCTGGATATCCATCTTTCTGCACAAGATGCCTACACAGAGCAGGTACCAGGCATGGTTGTTTTAAGAACACCACTCTGCCATTTGACCAGAAGCTCCAGGGATGGTTTGTAAAAGGAGACTAAGGGCTGCACCAAATCCCTGGTTCTGACATTTTTAGGGTTGTGAAGCGTTTTAATTCTCCCATGAAAGGCCCAGGCAGGCCTTTCCCTGCCAAAAAATGCAGATTAAGATTTTTGCCTCTACTTTCAGAGGGTTTAGACCCCCCCCCAACAATCCATCGACAGAACCGCAACTTAATCCCTGGACGGTGTCGTTGCTGGTGTCCTGAGGTGTGAAGCTGTGCGCACTCTGCAGTCTAGAGAGCTTTTATACAGGGAGATGAGGGAGAAAGGGCCCCTGCCCCTGCAGAGCCATTGGCCTCCCCTCCAGCTAGAGGCCCACCTGGCCCAGGCCCTGGCTGTGCATTCACGGTCTGCTCTGCTAAGAAGCCGCCTGGTATCAGAGCAAGTGAAAGGAATCTGCAGGAAAGGAACCCCTGAACCCAACACCAAAGTGGAGGCTGGGCTGCTGCCTTGCTGCATTCCAGCCGCACCAGTCCCCCTGCCATCTCTGCTGGTCAGTGAAGCACTTGGATTGGAGGAAGTGAGGTGGACCAAGGATTAGTTCAGGTTGAGCAAAGATGACACAGGCAAACTGCAGGGTCCATACCAGCCCCCACCCCTGAGGCATCCTGCTGACAAGTACCCTTCCCTAC